CCATGCATTCGTTGCACATCCAGTTTTTTACTGCCAATATATATGCAAGGATTCCTTTATCTGCAGACCTAATTTAAATGCTCTTTGTCTATATACTGATATTTGTCTTTATTTGTATTGATGCATGCCCGATTCGTTGATTTATTTTGGTGTTCTGAACTATGAATCATTCAAACAACTATTCATATAACTATGGGCTCAGAATCGGAAACCTAAAGTATTATTTTTACTGTCACAGGTTGTTTCGCTTTGGCTAATACCTCAAGCGGCATAATAGCGTGGTAAGGATTATACACGAACTATTGGCACTTAACAGAGATCCCATCACAAAAACGACGCTTTATTGTCGATACCATCCAGAGAGCGTGTTTGAGAATGACCCATGTACCTCTTATTTCGACATCCCTATAGTTACCGATCTGTTATTGATAACTATCATCCAAACATATTAATCTGGGATCACAAGAACAAGACGCTGAAATTACTGATGTTGGTGATCCCCTGGAAGACAACGTGCAGAAATCACAGCTAGATAAAATAAAAAAATACTAAAATCTGGCTACTGACTGTTCTAATAACACTAATTGTCATCCGCGCAAATGACCTTATTCCAAAATCACTGAGGACGAGTTTGCATGATCTAAAGCTGACAGAAACACCAATAAAAAATTGCGAGAAAGCCACTGTTCTGGATGAGTGTAGAAGTGTGAAAGACCATGGATATTATGAATTTATAGCAGACTGCAACTTGTTGGCTATGCTAAGCCCTGGTTGGTGACAAATATCCTGTGCATGAGAGAATATGATATAAAGCCTCTAAAATAAAATATCATGTCTTAAATGTTGCTTCAGTTTACACAGTTTGACGAGGCCAGATGGTCTGCATGCGTATAAGCATCTTCGGTTCACAATCTCCAGCTATGGCATCATCCAACTAGAGTTAAAGAGGAGGAATGCGTTAAACTCGAGTACTTCTAAAAACCTGTCCAATGCCTGAGCTGAAATACCAGGATTAACCCCTTCCACAAAAATCTGCCTGCACCTTGCTTGTGTTAGTGTTGTTGTACGACATGAAGAGTTGTTGGAATGAAGGAGCAACAAAGACAGTTCAACGGCCTACAGCAGCGTTGGCTTCAACCCATAATGAGAACGAAATTATCAGACAACGCAAGGGATGACTTAATTTTCCTTCGAGCACAGATCACCGCAGTACATATGGAGATTACGAACTGGACATTGGCCTTGTTAGACAAACTGATTAAGCAAAATCCAATTATTGCAGCTCCTCTTCTCGCGTATAAGCCGAAACATGATACGCGTTACCAAGGATGCTAGCATGCAACATGAAGGAACAAGGTAGAGGCAGATCTGCATGCATTCGGAGAGGAATATTACTTTCGATGATGCAGCAGTCGGTGACTTATAGCAAATGCTGTTTCTCAAATGACTCTGGATGATGACCTCAACAAACACACCTGGCTTGCATAGGCTGTAATAACTTCAAACTTTAGGCAGTAACTAAAGATATTATGACAGTCATGTTTTAGATATCGTGGAAGGACTGCGATGGGTACAGCGTGAAATAAAAAACTTTGGCGGTGATGCCAAAAGAGTGACGTTAATGGGTCACAGTACAGGAGCAACCGCTGTATCGTTGTTGACACTGTCCCCCGTGACAGCAGGCTTGTTCCAGCAAGCAATAGTTATGAGTGGAACGGCGTTTTCGCCCGGAGAGCTGCAGAACAACTCTGCACCATACATGAAGTGGATAAAACGCGTTGGCTGCCTCAGTCGAGACGA